ATATTATGCACGATATATATTTCACAGCTTACTGTTTTTCATCACAAGAAAGCATTTAATCCAGCGGCATTGAAAACTAACGATGATGAAGAATCTAAGGAAATATTTGAAACAAATGAAATTGACGCTCGACTAGTTTCATCGAATGCAGTAAGTCTTTTCTTCTGAAATGTTAATAATGTGTGTTTTTCTCTATCTGAACTAAGATCAATCTGATGCCGATTACTTCAGTTTTCGGTGTGTCACGTGTACATGTTCATTTCTCCCCGACCAGACAGAACCGAAAAAATACACGTTTTATGCCGTAAAATGTGCGCTTTTTATGTTTTCGAAAAACTAGCCTGAAGACAATGACGCTCGCAACTTTTTTTCAAAGGTTTAGATCGTCTTTTCACTGTTTCTCAGGAAAAATGCGTAGATTTCAACGCATTAAAATGAACCCTTGTCAGACTGAATTAATTTAGGAAAAACTAATTCATTGATGAAATGTGTATTTCTGAAACTAGAGTAATACAAAACTCAAAGAATCAAAAGCGATGAAAGATCGTCGAAGAACAAAAGAGAAAAAGAGAGCAAACGATGAAAACGGCACAAGTGAGCTGATAGTGTTTTTTAAACTCTATTTATGTTCATTTTTTCAGATGTTGTTGTTAGCTAACCTGTCCATTATGTACTTTCTTTTCATTAACCGGTATTGTGCTTCTTGGCGGGGCTTTATCAGCTCTTGCTATAACACTTCTGCTATCCAAAGGTATGGTTTAAGAATATATCTTAATGTAACAGTTTCTACTCTGTTAAAAAATAAAGGTGTCATCAGGAACCATCAGTAGTGTAGAACTGGTTAATTTGTAACAACTATTGAACTATTCTTCAACTATTCGAATATTCAACTATTCAGCTATCAGACACCACCCCCACTGATATTAAGGAAGCCCCCCCCCCCCTATCCATCCACATTGAGCGAGACGCCCCATTCCTTCTGGCCACCGAAACCAAAGGATTTGAATAGTTGAATATTGGAATAGTTGTAACAACTATTCGAGTTTGACATGTATGGGAACCATTGAGGGTTTTAGCGAAGATGCTGAACCTTTTAAGGTTCCTTTTAGCTATCACTAAAACATTGAAAGTTCTAGATAACTTAAAGTATCATTCAAAGCAAAAAAATGGTTGCAAATGTTTAGAATACTTCTATCTCGCATCATTTTGTTTTACTGCTGGACTTTCTTTTACAAACATAGTTCTAACGCAACTCACTTGGAATACACTGAAGAAAAGTGTCAAATAAATCCTCTGAGGCTTCGCAGAATTTTACTATACCTTTGGACTATCTTATAAATACATGTAACCTCACTAAGAGTTTCTGCATTTCATTGGCTGCGTATAAAAATCTCTTCAGATTTCGCAGCAGAAAAAGCTTCTTAGTAAACCTGATGAAGCGTACTGTAGTCGGAAAGTTTCGCACTAAACTGTTTTCTTTCCGACTCTCCATAATAGAGACATTTGTTCTAAAATCAAGACTACGAGCAATTTAAACCGTCCCTATATTCATGTATTTATTGTTCACTTTGCATTCACTTTTTCATATTTAATTCGTGCATTTAGATTTTGTATTGTTCCATGAGGAGCTACTTCTGAAGACAATGTGAAAAGCAACGAATATATCATCATTAAAAAGTTTTTTTCGCTAAATCTCTGAGACCTTAGCATTTTGTCAGCAGAAAAAGAGTTTTTGAAAGTTAAATAGCATTCTATGTTTGGACTTAATGAATCGTTTCAATTATGAGTTTGCTATAGCTTTCGCAACGTTGTTTGTTTGAGCACATTGGCATAAAAAACTCCTAAATCGTTTTCGTATGATAGAATTCTTGTTCAGCGGGCAGATTTAAACTATTAAAGCATACTTATTTTCGTGTCATCTTACTTTCGTCGCAGTCAAGTTACTTTAGACAATACAACATTTGTTTGTTTTCAATTTAACATAGAAAGAGACGAATAGACACGAGATCTGAATAAACATACTACCAATGACAACATTTTTGGGAATCGTATTTTTGATAGATACTTCAATCGGTAGTCAACTGCAAAAAAGGCATAAGGTGCTCAGAAAATTGTTTCGTCTGTGGAACTTTGCAGAGCTCGCTGTGCTGATCATTTTGGTAAAAAAAGATATTCAAATTTACTCAATAAATAATGGGACTAAAATCCAAATACTCCAAAACCTTAACTATCGCTTAGCAGCAGTCAGGAATAGGCGAAGTTTTTTGAGTATTTTGTCTCTAACATCATTATTTATTGAGTAAAATTGAGTATAATTTTTACCGAGATGATCAGCGCAACGAGCTCTACAATATTTTACAGACGAAACAGTTTTATGAGAACCTTATCGTTTTTGTGATTGACTACCCATGGAAGTATCAACCAAAACTATAATTCGTAACCATTTTGTCGTTGGTGGATAGATGTTTTCACGTCGCTTCACCATGATAAATACAGATATAAACATACACACACACGCAACCGGATGAACACATATTGTACTAGATATACATGAACAAGCAAGGCATACATATATGAAATTCGATAGTGATTCAGAGCATTATACATAGATATAAGAGTCTATGCAAATATATAAGGATTCATATAGCAATAAAGTATTAGATAAAGAGAAAATGGATTAGGGATATAAAAAAGGGTTAGACATCGGAATACTAGATTCTATCTTGAGTACAAAAGTTAGACATAGGGATAAGGAGTCAGCTATAGAAATAATGAGTTAGACATACGAATAATAGATTAAGGATGGAGATTAGGACTCACATATAGAATTTTTGGTTGACTATAAGAATAAAGTTCTAAGAATAAAAATAATTGGTAAGACGTAGAAATGAGAAGTTTCGCATAGAAACAAGAAGCTATATATAGAATTTATAGGTTACATATGGGAATAAGGAGAACGGTACAGGAATAAGAGTTAGATCTAGAATAAGAGACAAAGGATAGAATTAAGAGATTAGATATACAATTAAGGAATTTCGAATAGAAATAAGGGCGTTAGATATAGAATTAAAAGATTCAGAATAGAATTAAGGAGTTAATAATAGAAATAATGGTTTGGAGACAGAATTAATCAGCAATAGGAGACTACGCGTGTTGAATGGGCAGTTTTTGGCCAGAGTAAAACCTTTTTTGGAAGAAGAAAAAAGTTCGAGACAGAACCAAATTCTGCTAGAATCTTACAAGGTGAAGAAAATGGTGCCCAAATTTTTAATCCTAAAAGGTTCAATATGACACCTTTTTTTAGAGAGTATCATCATTAGGTTTGAATGTAGCAAACAAAGCCCTAACTAAACTCGAAAAAAAGATATATTTCCAAAACGTCTTACAGGATTTCCGCTTCGGTTACTATTCGTAAACTTAGACATTTCCAAAGAGGAATTTCCTAATGTTTGAAAACCAAAAACTAGATCAGCCATAATGATATATCCAATACAGATTTCAGAAATGGATTCAAGGTTTCCTAGCTCGATAAAAACTAAAGAGTGCAAGGTATATTCACCATTCCGAGGCCACCTGGAAAGATTGTCCAACCAACAACGTCACTGTGAATAATTTGTCGCAGTTACCATGCATCGACTCATTCAACAATGTTTGATCACGATTTGTTTTACTATTGGAAGAGTTCCTGTATTATTGCGAGTACGACTTACCATTGTATTAGTTCTCGATCTGCACCTAAAAGTATAATACCAATTTTTGTTTCTTTCTAACATCACTTATTATACATCTTGCATCATAATACCTAAATAAACAACAAGTTATTGATTATTTTTAATATCATTTGTTTTGTATTGCTTGTTGAAATAAACCTAAATAGAAAAGAAATCCTATTTTTGTATGTTGGGTGTATGAGTACGTGCCAGCATTGTCTATCATTTTTTACGCATTCACACCTCATATATCTAGAATAGAAACTAAATTATGAATGTATGAAAGACATTAGCCTATTCTAAGTGTATGAAAGGGTTCTTGACTCACAGATATATTCTAATGGAAATTATCAATTACAGTAATTGAATCCATCGTAAACAAAAGATGGGCGTTTCCAGCTGTCTAGGAATTTCTGAAGATGAGAAGTAACAAAGATTAGCAAAAAAAGAAATTCAAATATCTGTCACGTGTTTTGGAGAGTTTTCGGACTCTATAATCTATTCCTGGAAACATGTTTTGACACTTCGAAAACATTTTGTTTTCGAAAGTATTCAGAAATTTATGTTGGTTTTCAACTAAAGTTTTATGACATTTAGGAACTTGCAAACTCTTTTAGTTTCCGATGAGATACTTCGGAAACTGGAAGTGCTATCATTGGATACCTCTTCGTGTATTATATCAATTTTTCAAGCAATATCCTATTTTGAAAGTGTTTTTACACAATTCCCACAAATACCAATCAAGTTTTCGACAATGCCGTAAGAGTATTCGAAAAAGCTATTCTCAAATATCTCACGACTTCTGGATGCTCAGAATTTAAGAAATCATTTCTGAAAACGCATTTTGAGACCGAAAAGCTTTTCGAAAGTTTTTTAGGATTTTCGAAGGGATTTCAAAAATTGTTTGAAGTTTTTTAGGAAAATTTTTTGTTTTAGATAGTAAGACAACTACAACAACCACCATCAGCATCACATCAACTTGAGTGGAAGATGTATCAAACACTCCTCGCGGTCCATATAAAGGTACTCAGGGTGATATGACAATAGGCACAAATGGCGTGTTTACTAGAGTGAATTATTGGGACGGATGTCTCGATCAGATATCTTTCTTGTCTCGAGCAAAAAGGTAAAATTGATTTGCGTTTTATACCCAGAAATCTCGATATCTTTGGTTTTTAAGTGCCACCGAAGTACTTCAAGATGCAACTCTTACGATATTTTATCCATTTACCAACAATCTTCTTGACTATGACCCGTTAGGTATCAACGGAACAGGAATAGACTATCAATATGCAACCATTGGTCGAGTCAATGAAAGCTTGGATCTATCTTCGAACTCATCGTACGTACAAGTCACAGGTCTTGTTTATTTAGGGACAGTTGGTAATTCATATTCGTTAGCTATTTGGATTATGACGACTACAATCGCTGATGGAACGATCATTCACATCTCATCAAATACAAGTGGAATACTTTGGTCTATGCCGATGCTGGGTTTTACCAATGCAGGAAATATAATTGTACAAAATTGTTCTATAAACGGTAGCCTCATCTTGACTGGACCAGTTATCACCGTTGGAGTATGAACTCATTTGGCAGTGACTTATAAATCATCCAGCAGACTTCGCTTGGGGCTAAATGGTACTCAATTTGGTGCAGTGTCTAGTGCCTACACATTCTCGGCTGCTAGTGTTCCGGTTACTGCAACACCTGGCTTTTCTCCGGATATTGCTGGTCCGTGTTCATCAAGCACGATCGCTGCGGAACAATACTCGGGACTTCTCGATGAATTTTATTTGTTTTCTAGAGAACTCTCTTCAATCGATGTTTGGAATTTAGCTAACCCGTAAAAATCATATGCTCTCTATCAACTTCATTCAGAACATTAATCATGTTTCATCAAGTAGTTTCACATAAACCAGTGACTTTTTTGTGTGTTCAATTCGGCAAGCATCAATCATGTCGAAAACATCATCGCGAACTGTTTGTGGTCGTCGAAATTACTATCCGTCATCTTAATAGTGTAGATACCTTCCTTTCATTTTTCGTTTTTTTTTCTTTTTGTTGTTCTACTCGTCTTCACGTTACAAGAAGTATTCTTGATTATGGGAACCAATATGATTTTCTCGGTCTGGAGCTTTTTCTGAGTAATAAAAACACATATGAATACCAGAAATCAAAACCGATTGATGAATATGTCGTCAGCGATGCCCTTATTTTTGACCAAAAGAGAGAATCGAAGTTATTTTGAACGAAAATGTTTCATTCTATTTGAGTAAATATGCTATTTTGATTGTCTTTTCTGTGATAAACTTAGCAATCAAAATGCAATGCAGAGAAATCGTTCTCAGCACTCTCTCATTTTCTGCTCTTATTCAGTCATTAGAGATAATACAGTCTGTCAGGATACTAGCATGCTCACCATGTGTTGCAGGTGTGTTGATGATATCGCTAGTTGAACTTCTGTTGGTTCTTATTCATACATATGTACTATTGATGATTGGGGGTGTCAGTAAATGTGTGCATCATGAAAGCAACAGCATAAACCCACACTGACACCAGCACCCTATTTTTAAAATTGGAATTATCGAAAACTGCGATAAATTCTAATTTGAAATAAATTGAACGCTGATTCATTCAAATTGACGTGGCAACCATATAATACTCAAAATAATACTGTTAAAAAAATTGTCAAGTTATATAAACAGAGAATCATCGAATTTCAAATGCTTGAAAATGAAATACAAATCGAAGAATTTTAATCATATAAATGTCCGTAAATTTATCTTAGAATCAAGTCAAAAACGGATCGAAATTAGAATGATTCTATTAAGGGGTATCCAAAAGTAGTTGCTGAAATACTTGGATTTCTTATAAAAAGCGTAAAGAAGCTCTTTTTCTATATGGACTGATTGTAAAAATGACCCTATATTTTTTTGTGCTATTACGTTATCCCTCAAGTAATATCATAATAATAACATTTTGACAGTTTGGGTGAAGCAAGAACCACATCTACGAATACATACGCCCATACTCACACCCTAGTTTTCCTCGCCCTATGATAAATAAACGGGAAAATTAGTCCGTATCGTAGGTTTATAATTCACTGGAAAAAAAATTAGAAATAAAAACAATAAAAATTTTGTAATATAAAGAGAGTAAATTAAGCTGTACATTAAGTCAAACTTCAATGAATTTTATTTTTCATTGATTCATAAATAGTTTGATAGAGCCTCAAGAGTTAGAAACAAACATATAATATTTATTGTAATTAGTTTCTGATTTCGTTGCAAAAGATTCCAAATCCTCATAAGAACAAAATCACTTTTTTTACTTAAACCAAGTTTTAAAACACTGACACCATTTGTTTTTCGAATTCAATGTCAACAATTGAGTGGAAAATATTAACTTTGTAGATTTAAAATAAATATCGTAAAAAACTGCCATTAATATATATAGGGTTATAGTATGTACTTATAGGCATTTTGTAAGAAAAGATAAGACCAAATGCCTTAAAGGGTTTGCATCTGCTAGTTTCAAACTAGGAAAGTACCCATCTTGTTATTGTTGAGATAATTGGACGTTTTCTCGTTCGAGTAGTTAAAGAGCCTTGTTTGTTGAAGTATTTATCATCAAAACTTCATTGAAAAATATATGAAACAGCATTTTCAAAATCAGCGCAGAATTCTACATCGGACTCAAGAAATTTTGGCACGGTCAATAATTTCATACAAAATAGACTTGTACCTCTGTTTAATAATTTTTTCCTCAAACTTCGCCTGTGGTCCCTTTAGAATTAATTTTCCATTGAAAACGCAATTTGCTAAAATATATGTGACCCGATATAGGTTTTTGTGATGATTTTGAATATGGTATTTATTAATTTTTTCAAATGCGTTTTGAGAATAAACTCTCCAACAAACAAGGTCATTTTATTATCAAAACGAGGAAATATTCAATTTTCTCTGGAATAAAACTTATGGGCACTTATGTAGGATGAAACTGACTGATTCAGATCATGTAAGACATTTGTTCTTATCTTCTTTCACAAAAATAAATTACCTAGGTTTATAAAAGTGTCTGTACACACTTACTGTAAGAATGCATATATTAAAATTGAGTTCTACGTTATTTATTTGAAACCTAAGAAAATAATAATTTTCTACTTATAGTTGTTGATGCTGAATTCAAAAAAGAAATATTTTCGCAGATTTAAAGGTTGGCTTTGTTCTTTTCAGGATTTGGAGTTTTCGGCAGCAAAAGAGGAGCCTGATTGAAACAAAATATATCTATCTATCTATATATGTATTAGCAGTATTTGAAGCTCCAGAAAATCATACATATATCAATGAAAAATGAAGCCCGCTGCAATTATGCTTTATGGGTACCACAGCTCTCAATTGATATGCGAAATTTTTGATCAGAATCTTCTAGTAGTTATGATTTGAAACATTGCCTTATACGTTCGTTTGTAATCTATTGTATCATATTGATCTTGACTGAAGGATCTGCCTCTCTTTCAATTTATCTATTGTTATTAGTATTTTTTCACCATAACTAACTAATATTATTCGTTTCATCAGTTGAATTAAATAGATGTCTAAAGAGGTGAAAAAAAAAGTTTAACAGCAACGTATGCTTAGCTTAATATTAAGCACCGATAATTCAAATCCTGATAGCGATTTTAATAGCCAATGGAGTTTTCTATCCTGTGCATTCCATGCCAAGATTTCACATATAAACTATGATTCAAGAGTTTCTAAAAACTAGGCACACTAGTTTCAAGGTCTTCGAAGACTTTGATGAAGCTATTTTTTAGCAGTATTATCGTAAAGAACGCAAAAATCTGAAAAAAATAAAGGATTCTCGAATTTTGCACGATCTTTCTTTTAAAAAGTTAAAATCATCATGAAAAGCATTTTTCAGCAAATTTTTGATGAATTTTGCTGTTTTACAACTTTTGTGATACCCTTCACTTTTTGAGAAAAAGTTGTAGAAAATGGAGAGATCCATCATTTGTTTAGAACTTTGTGCTCTTTACGATGATATTATCAAAAAATAGCTGTAAAAAATCATGTTAAGTTTTTCAGAAACCTTACCATCAATAGTTTCTCTATGAATTCTTGGCACAGAATGCTTTAAATAAAAAACTCCATTGACTATTAAAATCACTATCAGAATTTGAGTTCGGTACTTAACATTAAACCAAAAATGCGCTATTGTTAAACTTTTCCCCATCCATTCACAAGTGAGTGTAAGTCAACACCCAGATGAAAGTAATCATCATTATTCAACTCTATTTGATCGAATATTATAATTATGTATTCTTCTAAAAGAATCATTTGTTGTAGAACGATAAAATAAAATTATTTATATCTAATATTCGAATAAAAAATGAACATAACAATATTTGAATACTATAGATTGAACTCGTCTTTCCAATCTTTACGTCGATAGGACTTCATGCCTTTTGTCTTTCCTAAGGACTTTTCACCACGTCCACGAAATACTATCACTCCGCCACATCGAAGACAACATTTACAGGGTGTATCATGATTTTTGTGTAATTGTCGTTGTAGAGGGTATTCATAATCTTTAAACGATAAATCAATCCATGCATCGACTGTCTCTTTTTCTTCTAGTCGGACGTTACTTCGTTTTCCATTAATTGTTTGATATTGTCGCGCTCGATCGAAATCTTCGAAGTCTCCACCAGGAAATCCGACGTGGTAAAATGGACTATTTTTGCGATTGGAACGCATACCCATAGGTATCATTTTCCGAATTGGCAGTTGATTTTCTTCATCGTCAAGTAATTCCCATCGTTTTGACTTTGATAGAGAAAAAGGAATTCTGGTGTTTTTGTCAATGATGAAATCTCCTCGATTGGCGTTATGTTCGAATTCATTGCGTCGTATAGTTGCATTTGTTCTTAATCCTTGCCGCTTGCCTTGTCGTTGTGGCATAGTAAAACTGTCGAAAAAATACTACTCTGAAAAAAAAAGAAAAATTTACTTTTTTGAAAATCAGCAAATATCTTTTAATTTACATAATTTAATGTCAGCATTTTGCTTTGCTGAAGTGAAAACTTTTCTCTTGGATATAGCCAAAAGATGTAAATAAAATTGAAATGAGGATGTTTTTTGTTACTATAAAAAAAAAACTTTCTGATCGATTGAAAAAAAAAATGGCTTAGAAAAAAGTGCTAATTAAAAAGCAGAATTTAAGACAAAACTGTAACTAAAAATGTGTTTTTTTTTCTTGTGACTAAACAGATGTGTTTCTATGTAGTAACTATAGCTTTTATTGACTGAGGTATTTCATAGTAATTACACCACACATGTGTCACCGCGGAGAACAAAAAAATTGTCATGTTATTTTGCAATTCAATGAGTCATAATTGAAAGCAACGAATTGATTACTAACATTTCTATTCCATTCTTGAACTTGTTTTTATCTTACCAGCAAGGGTCTCCGTCTTTAATCAGCTAGGATCGAGAGTGAGTGTGCGAATTGGAAGTCTTCTCATACAATAATCCAAAGGATACATTAGCTGCTTTCACTTATTTGTGGAGTCTACATCTGA